AATTGTATCTATATGGATATAATTTTTCGGTATTATTTATATTGAAGCACACCTAAAATGTGTTTGGAAAACCCAATTTTAAAAAAAATAAAAAACTTTATTTGCAACAAAAACAACAAAAAATTATTTATTTATTTTTCATTTTATAACTATTATTCCAAAAAGTATGCAAAGATTTAATTTAATACATAATATTAATTTTATTAATAAAAAAAAAACATCGTTTCTAAATTTAACACACACATATATATATACACAATAAAAAAAAAAGAGGTTTAAAATATTTAATATATGCTATATATTTTTATTTCAAATAAATGATTAAAAATTCAAAAAAAAAAAAAGAAAAAAAAAATGTGTGTGTTTTTTTTAATTTAGTTTTAATTTTGATTCTTTAATTTTTTTTTTTTTTCTTCTTTCTTTTTAATTTTTTTTTATATTCAGTAATAATAGTGTAATAATAAAAGTCAAAGCAAAAGTCTTTATCTATTTACAAAAAATAAATTTTTTTTTCAAAATAAAAAAATAAAATTAAATAAAATAAAATAAAATAAAAAAATTTTAAAAAAAATAGATTCATAGTTTTTTTTTTTTTTTTTTTTTTCCAAATTATTATAATTGTCGTATTACTATTATTGGGTATTTTTTTTTTTATGTAATAACTTTAACAACTCTTTAAAAACGGATAGAAGAATAAAGTAAAAATAATAGTATAGTTGTTATTTATAGTTTACTATTTTTACTATAAAACAAATAAAATAATAGAGCTAATAATAGTAAATAGTAAATAGTAAATAGTAAATAGTAAATAGTATAGTATAGTAATAATAGCAATATAACAATAATACCACCACATAGACTAAAAATAGAATAAAGATTGGTAATAATAGTAAAAATAGCAATAGTAGTTTATATATTTATAGTGTGTGGGGTTTTTTTGTCAATATTACAAATAAATAATAACCATGTTTAGTAGTAAAAGTTCAGAATTTAGTATTTTAACAGATTTAAATGGCTACATTCAACAGTTATTAGACATTACTAAATCAGAAAATGATGGAGTCAAGGAAGAAGAACAAACTATGATTCAAGATCGAAATCCATCGCTACTAAGAATTTGTTATTGCGTTGAAAAAATTTTAAGTAACGAGTTAAAAGGTAAGGTATAGAAATAGTTTGATAATTGGTTTTAAAGTAACTATTAACATTTAAGTTTTTTTTTTTAGATGTCAATTTTTTATCATCAACAACTATGTGGGATTTCTTACAAAATTTACCACAATGTTTGCCAGATACCGGTAGAAATGTAGAGTTGGCAAAGGATTGCACTAAAACTTCAATTGGTAGGGGTAGAGTTTTAATTCGTTTGGCTTTAAATGATGGGTTGCTAGAAGAGTATATATCATCGTTGTGTTTTAGTGAAGATGTTTTAAAATCCTATTACAAGGAAAATGCCCTCTTAAGAAATTCAGAGTTTTTAATGATGTTCCAAAGTTTGATTGCAATGTTATCCCATATCCAATTTAGTTTGGCTGTAAAAGATAAGGATTTAGATAAAGCAAATTATTGGGAAGATATAGCACTAACATTATTAACTAATGTTGAAACTAGGGTGGTTAGAAGATTCATTATGGTACCACAGGATCAACAAGGTAATGGTCAACAACAGAGTGATAATCAGCCAGTAGAACAACAGGCAGTGGTAGAGGAACCTGCACAAGTGCAAGTAAAAATAACACAACCAGAGTTGGTAGAACAACCAATACAGCCACCAGTTAAAAATGAAGTAAATCCAGAGCCACCAATACAATCAAATATTGAGGATGGTAAGGGTTTAGTATCATCCCATTCTACCTCATCATTAAACTTAGATGAGTTGGAGAATGTTTTAAGTGAAATAACTTCAGATGAAATACCTTCACCAGAACCAGTGGTACAACTTTCAAACCAAATAATACCAAGTTTACCAGACTATGAAAAAGTTATTATCACCGAAAAAGATTATCAACAATGGGATCAATTAATTGAAAATTTAATTAAATCCAAAAAGACATTATTACTAGATTATGGTGCTAAGGGATCAGCTATTACAGTATCGGATAGCTGCCTGGAGCCATTTTGGTTATCAGTCGATAGAATATTAACAAACGAATTAAGAAAACCAAACACAAGTTTATATTCAAATCTTTGGGATACAATTGTTGGTATTGCATCAGTTATAGAGGTTTCTAATTCAGCTAATAATACTAGAGTGGGTTATGTCGATAACCCATTGGAAAGTAATGAACCAATCGAAAAAATTTATCAAGATAATTCATTTAAGCGTATTAGAGCATTTTATTTTAGAGCAGTTATGTCACTTCAAAATATATCAAATTATTTAAAACAATATTTCTTATTCAGCAAAGATAACGATAGTCAAGGAATTTTAATTAGATTTTATAAAAATAATTCTATAGTTTTACAATTCGATTATATGACCAAGTTTTTTAATTTACTAGAAGATCTAACTACAATTGTTACCTTTAGGTTAAGATGGGAAAAAGATGTCGAACAACTTCAATTACCAAAGAAAATTGTAACAAAAGTTATAAAGAAAAAAGTTATTAAAAAAACAATTGTAACAGTTAAAAAACCACAACCACAACAAGATCAAGTTAAGGATGAAGTTATTCAAGAAATTGAAGACAAAGATGAACCATTAGTACAAGACAAGTTAACAAGTAGCATTGATTCAAATATTTTAGATATTGAAAGTTTAAGTAATGATTTGGCAGCAATAGAGCAAGAACTAAAAGAGGAACAAAAATCACCAAAAGAAGAAGAGGTATTATTAGAACAACAGGTAGAGGCATCACAAAATCTACCACAAAATCTACCACCACCAGAACAGGCTGAACAAGAGTTTAAAAAGGTTGAAGAAGATAGTATCAAATCTGTACCAATTGAAGAGGTTCTAAGTGAAGAGCCAGTTAAAGCTGAAAATCAATCACCACCACAAGTAAATATCATAGAAACAATTGAAAATAATAATAATGAAGCATCAAAAAGAAATTTAAATTTAACATCAAGTAGGGATAGTGTAGCATCGGTAGAAAGTAATAAAGAGGAGCAATTACAAACACAACTAAAAACTGTATCATCATCATCATCATTATCAAATTCAATTAGTTCAAATGAAGAGGAGCCACCTAAAACTGTTGAAAGAAGATCAACATTATCTGAAGTAATGAAAAAATATTCATCTTCATCCTCACCATCATCATCATCAAGCTCAATACATTCAAGTGAGGAGCATAATAATTATAGCAACAACAACAACAGCAACAACAATAACAACAATGAAGATGATAACAAAAAAGTCAAAAACGATGAAGATAAAGATAATGTTAACTCTGAGCAATTTCAAAATTTACTATCATCTTTAAAAACATCTCAAGAGTCAATTGAATTTAGATTTAAATCAGATCCAACCTATTCATCATATACCGATAGTTATAATAATGACCCATTTTCAACTTCATATATGGGTAATTCTAGTTTTACAAATGAAAATGATGCATTAAAGTCATCATCATTATCATCATCGCTAATTGACTATCAATTAATTTCAGAATACGAAACAAAAGATAAAAAGAAAGTAAAAAATAGAAATTTATTGACAGGTGAAGATGGACAGATATTTATAAATACACTCTACAGAACTACTGCTGTTAAGGCAGCATATTATTCACAAGGTGTTTGCCCAGGATGTCACATTCAATTGGAAAAATTGAGTTATTTCAAAACTAGAATATGCTATTACACTGGTAAATACTATTGTAATAATTGCCATTCTAATCAAAAATCACTCATTCCTGCAAGAATACTTTGGAAATGGGAATTCAAATTATTCCCAGTATCAGATGCCGCCAAATCATATATCACTCGTAACCTAGAAAAGCCATTTGATATTTTTCAATTTAATCCACAATGTTTGAACCTCAACCCAAAGCTTCAAAAGATATTTTCAATGAGAGAGAAACTTTTCTTTATTGGCGAATATATCGAATCTTGTAGAAATAAAGCAACTCTTGAAGTTCCAGAATTGGCTGATTATTTTGTCTGCGATAATGTTTATACCTACTCGATAATGGATTTAGAAAAAATCTATACAACAAATATTTTAGAATCAACAATTCAACAAGTCATGACAAAATATATAGATCATGTTACAAAAGAGTGCACTGTAAGTAATTTTAATTTTTTACAAAGTAAAAATTTACCACATATTAATTTAAAAATTATTTTTATTTTAGATTTGTAAAGGTAAAGGTTTCATTTGCGAATATTGTAATGATGATAATGAATTAATTTTTTCTTGGATGAGTTTAGATGTTCAAAATTTTATTAAGTGCGATAAATGTTTAACTCTTTCTCATAAAAATGTGCATCAGAATCAAATGACACTTGCCCCAAATGTTTAAGAATTGCCAAAATCAAGAATAAATCAAGCAACAATAATAGTAATGGCAATTCAGTGCAACTTCAAATTAAATAACAATATTAATTGTATAACTTTATTTTTTTTTTTTTTTTTTTTTTTTTTTTCCTTCCTTTTAATTTTTTTTCTATTTAATATTAATAAAATAATCAAAAATTATATTTATTTGTTTAAATTAAACTAATAAAAAATTATTTATTTATTTATTTCTAATTTTATTTTATTTATTTATTTCTTATATTTTTATTTTATTTTTTTTTAATTTTTTTTTTTTTAATTTTTTTTAATTTTTTTTTTTAAAACTTTCATTTTTTTTTTTTAAATTTAAAATATTAATAAAACAATGTCAAAAGTTACATTTAAAATCACATTAGCATCTGACCCAAAGTCACCATATAAAGTGTAAGACTGATGATCATATTGTTATTGTTAATAAAGTGCATCTATTTATTTATTTAATCATTTTTATTAAACTTTATAGAATAAGCGTTCCAGAAGCAACACCATTTACAGCTGTATTAAGATTTGCATGTGAACAGGTTAGTTAATAATTGTTTTTTTCTTTAGTATTTTTGTGGATATAATCATTAACTTATTTTTTATTTAAATTTTGGTTTTAATAGTTTAATGTACCATGGCAAACATCAGCAATTATTACAGAGGAAGGTATTGGTATTAACCCATCTCAAAGTGCAGGAAACGTATTTATAAAGCATTCATCAAATTTAAAAGTTATAGCACGTGATAGAGTAGGAAGTTTATTTAATTAAAATACAAAATACAAAATATAAAATACAAATATAAAATAAAACACATTATATTATAGTTTTGGAATAGGAGGCTTTAATATTTTATTTAATAGGTTTTAAACATGTGTAATAATGCGGACCATGTAATGAAGTTTATGATAGTCGGATTAAAAGATTTAATATTATTCTTTACTGAATTTGTATAATTATTATTTATATAAATAATAATAAAATTGGACATTTTATTATTAAAAAATATTTTAAAGCACCATCTTTTAAAATACATATTTAATGAAAATACAAAGAATCTTATATGAAATAATTGAGCCCAATTAGGAAGAAAATATTATTTGATAAAAAAGGTTTATTAAGAATTATATAATAAACCTTTCTGTGGCCAAAATTATTTTAAAAAAAACCATATTCCTTTTAATTTTGAATGTTTAATTATGAAATTTTTATTTTTTTAATAAATAAAAGGGTTTATACTATATTTATAACAATATACTGTTGAAATTTTTCTATCTAAAATTTTTTTTTCAGCCGTATAAAAAAATGAAACATCTATTTCATAAATGCCTTAATAGCTCAGTTGGTACGAGCGTGAGACTGAAGTTCTTAAGGTCGCTGGTTCGATCCCGGCTTGAGGCAATTTTTTTGTGGATTTATCTTTCCGGTGATAATTTTTTTTTTTTTTTTTTTTTTTTTTAAAATTAATTTTAATTTTAATTTACCGGGATAGCATTTGAACCTAAGTACCATATTTTAATCCTTAGCTCTTAACACACCATTTGAAATATTAACTTAAGTTACCTCTGCAACTACCTATATAGTTACCATTATTAAAAACGTGCTTCTTTGTGTTTTTGTACTTGTGTGATACCTGGTATTTATTTATTTATTTGTGAATTGTTGTATAATGATTTAGATGATCCATCAAAGGTATATTTTTTATTTATTAATATAAGTTGATATTTGTATTGTAATTCCCGGAAAGATAAATCCGGTAAAAACGAATACACAATACAAATAAAAAACTCCCAACAAGTTTTTTAAAACACAAACCAAAACACAATAACACAAAAACAAATAAAAACTTACTGAAAAGTTTAAATATTTGTATACCAAATGAAAACACAAACCAAATATATATATAACACAACAAAAATAAAAAACTCTTAACAAGTTTTTTATTGAAGAAAATAAAAAAACCGAGCATCTGCTAGGCTATTGAATTCCTGATAGCTTAATATTTCTTAATTAATATTTTTTTTAAAATTTTTTTTATATGCAGCAATGAAATGTAAATATTTTATGGGAATAACTAAACAGTTCTAGCTATTTTTTAATTAATTTTTTTATAAAAAAGAAAAATTGTGTGTGGTGGGGTATTAATTTAATTTTTTTTTAAAATTTTTTTTCAAAATTTTTTTTTTTTTTTTTTTTTTTTTTCCAATCATTCTTTATAATTTCAAAATAACAGAAACAAATAATAATAATTAAAAAAAAAACTATTAAAAAAAAAAAAAAACTTATTAAAGGTGGAGGTTATTTGGAAGAGCCATTAAAAGCACACAAGCATACCTCCAATCGGGTTAGAAATTAAAAGAGATTATTGGACACAGTGATTGGTATGAATAATATAGAAGCTTTAGGAAGTAGCCCAAAAGAGATACTCCAGCCACCCCAGCCACTCGTGCCACAGTTGATATGTGTAAACGATTAAAAGAATTGAATAGACTCGTAAAAGAGGGTTTTCATTTTATACTAATTCAAACAACAAAAAGAACAATTTTCAATCAAACAATAAATAAACAAATAAAATAAATAGATTAAATAAATTAATATTTTTATCTAGAAATTTTAATAAATAAAAAATTATTTTATATTTTCTATCTAGAAATTTTTTTTTTTTTTTAAAATTTTATTAGGAATGTGTATTTCCTTTTATGATAGAAATTACTAATTTTAAAATTTCCAAAAAAGGAAAACCCAAATTTGGTTATAATCTTTTATTTACTAAAGGAAATTTTAGATTCTTTATTATAATTCAAAAAATTTATTATTTACTAATTTTTTTTTTTTTTTTTTTTTTTTTTTAAATTTTTTATATTTTTTATTAATTTTGTATTGATCATCTAAATAAATAAAACCAGGTTATTCTACACAAGTATAAAAACACAAAGAAGCACGTTTTTACAATAATGGTGATCAGCAATAATACCTCTACACAACAAAATAGTAATAACAATTAAAATATCAACCAAATACCCACATTTTGAACCCTTCTAAAACTGATTGAGCCAATTTGTCAAAATACACTGGAGATTTCTTCAAAACAAATGATGCCCTTCCTGGTGAATTGATACAATTTACTACCGGCCCTAAACACCGTATGATGACGATCACCTAGATGTAATAACAATCGATGGAAATATGGTTGTATTTAGCATTTCTCGTTTTGTATAAAAGTTCATATGAATACATTACACTTTACAATACAAAGTTCGGTACTCATAATATTCACGTTTTAAGAATCACCCATGAATTGACTTGGCTTATATGCAGTGTGATAAACTTATAAAGTATAAAAAACACACAAAAAAAATACTAAAAAAATAAAAAAATAGAAAAACAAGTTCCAGATTTAAAAAAATATAAAAATGATGAGCTAATATATTAAAAAATCTCAAAGAATTTTTAAAATAGATTATTTTAAGGGTTATTTTATCATTACTTTTATAAGAAATATAACCAAGGTTAAAATGAAAAATTGTTTTAAAAATATTAAAAAAAATAAATAAATAAAAAAAAAAAATTAAAAAAAATAAATATTTGTTTTTTGTGGTAAAATTTAAATAATTATTTATAATATGGATAGCAATATAATTACTGGTTCTTGTCATTGTGGAAATGTTAAATTCAGAGGAGAAATAGAAAAAAATTTAAGGAATTCGATAACTGAAAAATGTAATTGTTGTAAGTAAATTTATTATTATATTTTTAAAACTATATAAGATTTTTTATTAATATATTTTAATAGCTATTTGTTTTAAAACAAGGTTATGGTATATTAAAGTAAATGAAAAAAATTTAGAAGTTAATAAGGGGAAGGATAATATGGAAATATATGAATTTGGTCAGAAGGACAATACATACTATTTTTGCAAAAATTGTCATATAGAACTATTCGGACTATACAAACCAAAAAACAAACCTAATGTCAATGCATTTTACGTTGTCAGTGTTGCAACCATTGACGGTTTATCACCTAAAGATTTATCAGAATTAAAGGTAATTTATTTAGATGGTTTAAATGATAATTTAGAATCTAAACCAGAATATACACACTATTTATAAAATAAAATAAAGAATCATATTTTAAACAATAAATAAAATTTTATTTTTAAGTTATTTATTTTTTTTTTTTATTAATTTATTTTTGTTTATTAATTTATTTTTTTTTTTATTTTTTTTATTTTTTTAAAAATAATTTAATTTAATTTTTTAATAAATTATTTTTTTTACAAAAAATTCGAAAAATCGACAAAATTTGTAAAAACTAAAGAAATGAAATGTTAAACAACTTCAATAATACAAATAAATCTCTACCTAAAAAGAGACCCCTCAGTCATTTTATATCCATTATTGATGAGGATGAAGAGATTAAAAATAAAATAAGTGATAAAAGTACTTATAATAATAATACTGATAAAGGTACTTATAATAATAATAATAATAATAATAATAATAATAATAATAATAATAATAATAATAATAATAATAATAATAATAATAATAATAATAATAATAAAATTAACAATAGCAATAATAATAATAACAATAATAATGGTAACAATGATTGTAGTAGTAATAAAAATATCGATAGTTTACAAAATCATTATAATTGCCCAATTTGCCACAAAGAATTCTCTGAAAATGAAATAGAGTCCCATATCAATTTAGAATTAGATTCTTTAGAAAAAGAACTTTTAAATAAAAACATAGAAAAAACCAATACCTCTATCAATAATACCTCAACTTATAATAGTTTATCAAGTACTCAAAAACCCTTATTTTCTAAAAATAGTGTAAACCCTTTAAAAACTCCATCATTACAAACAATAGCCAATAAAACAATATCATCATTTAAAAACTCATTGATCGAAAAAAAGAAAGAACTCCCACAACAGCAACAACAACAGGATCCCAATATATTATTTATATTTAATTGTAATAATATTAAAATTGGTACCAACAGTTATATAATAAAAGATGATGAAATTCAATTTTATATGGACCATTTAAAAATACAGGTAATTAAAAGGAATAGTTTAGAGACAACAACTTTTCAAATTTATTATAAAAAAATCGAATCACTCCAAGTAAAACTAGAGAATAACGACTATAGTTTATCAATTAAGGTACTATCTTTTATCGGACCAAATTTAAAGAGGGTCTTGAATGAAGTGATTCAGTTTAACTCAATACAAGGAAATTTTTCAGAAACATTCGAAGAATCATTCAAGCTCGTTGGTATTTTACAATTATGTACATTTGTTAAAAATGGTCAAAAAAAATCGTATCAAACCGATGATATTGAAGATATCCCCGAAGAAGAATTCAAACCTGTACCATTAAAAAGAAGCAATAGTGGTGGTAATAGTAGCATAGGTAAAAATATTGGCACAGATAAAAAGATTAATAATAGAGGTAGCAATATTAGTAATAATATCAATTTGAATAATTTATTAAAACAAAAATTAAATGAAGTTTCGAATAATACAACCACTACAACTACCACCACAACTATAACAAATTATAGCTGTGATTTTATAAATGACTCAATAGAAAATACACAGCCATCACAAAATAGAAATAAAGTAGACAATTTTATTGAATCCATCGAAAGTACACAATTTTCAAGCAATAAAGATTCAATTCAAAATACACCAATCTCTCAAACAAATAATAATACTATTTTTGATGATATAGTATCAACCCAGTTTTCACAGCAACAGCAACAACAAAACCGACTTTATAAAAACCCTCAACACAATACAGAATCAGAAGAAATTATTGAAATTAATGATGAAGATTTTCAAAAAGAATCCAATATATGGAATCAATATAACAAAAATACTTCAGTTCCTATATCAAAAAATTTTGAACATTTATTTTTGCATCCTAAATTTAAGAGCAATATTAACAAACCAAACAATAATATAAACTCAATTTATAATAATAATTTACCAAAAAATGTCCAAACTGGTTTT